CCAGCCCCTTTAACCTGCCTAGCTGCCTGCTGCTGAGCATAGCAGCCTGCAGGAAGCTGCACCTTGCCTCTCCCCATGCAGCCAAGGGCCCCAGCTGACTTCTTTCCCAAGGGCTGCACTAGAGCACACACCTTACCTCCACCGCTTCTAACTTCCACTGAAACAAGTGGCCCTCAGGGCTGAGCTTGGCCGGCAAAGAGGAAACTCAGGCCGGGAGGGCTGTGAGCGTGACCTTGCCTCCCGCCTCCTCTCCCTCAGGCCAGGGGGTAGCTGAGAGCAGGCACTGCACCCAGGCTGTGGGGCTCTGCCACAGCAGGCTGAGCCTACAGATAAGGACAAGCTGCGGCTTAACTCTTCCAATGCTGGACCCAACTGGGGCAAAAACGCCCACGTGGTCACTGAAAAAGCTAGTGGGCCAACCTTAGCTCCAGGGCCCCATGCTTCCCCTCCCCCCAACAGAGAGGAGTAACTCTCCCGGGCCGCAGGGCAGCTGCTCTCACCTGGCAATGGGTGAACAGGGCCCTGCTGGTGTAAGTCTGCTAAGGATAATGGCGTTTCCTCGGGGTGAGTTTGGCCGACTAGCTCTATCCACAGATTCACCCACCTTCTGCATGCCATTTGCATTCTCCACCCCTCCCCACTTCCTCAGGCTGGCTCGGGCTGGGATATGCATCAGGGTGTTCATGTCTTTGGGCCCCAGACCAGGACTCCTCCCTTCAGGCTGAGGCTCTGTGGAGGATGCACAGGGCTTTGGGACAACTCGGGGGCTCATGGAAGTAAAGGAGAAGTGTTTAGGGTCGGGGAGGGGGTGTCTTATGCTGGAGCTCAGGCCTCTGGGGAATGGAAAGATACGTGTGTGTGGGGTGGGGGGGAGGACGACATGTAGCTGGGGAGTGGGTGGGAGAAGGGCGGTTTTAGGAGAACACATGGGGCATTGTGGGGCAGAGGGTAAAACGGGGCCCAGCCAGGGGCACCTCTGCTTGATTTGTGCCAGGGCTGAGCCCCAGCACTTCCTAGGCTTGGCAGTTCATGGCCCCAGCACCTCTGGGCCCGGAAGTTCATGGCCCTGCATCCCCGGGCCTGGCAGTTCACAGCCCCAGCACCTCTGGGCCCGGCAGTTCTGAGCCCGGCACCTCTGAGCCTGCCACATCCGGTATGAACATAAAAACGTTGCTTGAGCCCGGGCCCTTCTGTCATTACAAATTGAGCATTGAGGGGCACCCCTCGCAGCTCCCCCTAGATCCAGAAGTCAGCAAGGGAGACCCTCCCCCACACTCCGGAGAAACCAGGACCCAGCTGGGTGTTCTCTGAAATCAGCCAGCCGGAGTCAGATCCAGGTGTGACTCCACCGTGGCCAGGGTGAAGTTGGAGTGAATGGGGCTGAACAGCGGTGTCATTCACAGACCTAGGGAAGGGCTGTGGAATGACTGTAACCCCCCAGCCCCTCTGGGCGGGATGCTCTTCCGTCCCTCCCACACCCTTTCCCCAGCATGCTGCCCTTGCTGATAAGGTTGGTGTGCGCTTCCTAGACTCCTGGGCTGGGCTGGGCAGTTGGAGGTGGCACACAACTGTGGCATGGTGGCTAGGGCAGGAGGCTCTGTCCCAGCTGTGGGGGTTGTAATGCTGTAGGGCACTCAGTCCTGATCTCTCGAAATGTGCTGATCTCTTCCCTGTAATAATTGTAGTATCTCAGGTCTGAACTCCTTGCTTTCAGTGGATGTTTTCCTAGCCCTGGGCTGTGCAGCATACTCACTGGCCAAACAAAACAATCTTACCCACAAATAATCAGTTGTCTTTAATGTGTCACTCTATCCTGGTGACGCCTAGTTGTGAGCTATGCACGACGGGCAATGCCGCCCTGTTTCTGACCTAGGCTTGATTCTCAGTCCACACCATCTTCCTTGGGGCCCTACATGCAAAGCCCCCGCCAGTCTGAGACCGAGGGGTGTCGATGAGAGGGATCCGTATTAGCATCCGGAAGGGAATGGCCTTTCTGTGCAGGAGGGAGAGACCATTCTGGGGAATCATGACACATGTTAAGCTCCTGTAATGCTGAGGACTCAACTCAAGCAGCTCAGGTAGAATTCCAGGGTTCTGGTTCTTGTCTCTGCCAGAAGATGTCACTGTAAGGCAATCGGCACCGTGGCGGTGGTGGCGGGGTGATCTAAGTCACTGAAATGGCTTCAAGGTAGGTCTATCTAGGAGCTGGCTTTGGACCGTCACTGGCCACCCGAGGATTACTGGGGCCGTAGGGAGGCCTCACACGGTATTTAAAGATTTTGACACAATTATCCCCAGCATCTGCTACGAAAAGCAGCCCGGAGTTGGAACAAGCCACTCCTGCAGGCTTCCGCAGCCCCTTAGACACCAGGCAGAGAGGAGACCCGCGCTGGGGGAACAGGTGGACAGCTCGGTGCTGTTCGTCGGCCACAATGATGTTGCCTTCTACGTCGGCACAGACCCCCGCCGGGTTGCCAAACTGGTGCCTGTATCTGGCGCCGAGGCAGCCCACCAGCGTACGCTTGCAGTTGAACAGCTTGACGTCACCGCACTCCTCGCTCACAACGAAGCCGCCGGCGGGGGGGCCGCTCACGCAGCGGGGGGCGCCCGGCGCGG